TAGATGTAGTGTTCCATGATTCATTGTTTGCGTATAACAGCCAGTGCTCCATTCAGTACGTGCCCTCTTTAATACCCATCACCAGGCTAACCCATCTGCCCACTCCCTCCCTTCTAGAACCCTCAGTTTGTTTTTCAGAGTCCATCATCTCTCATGGTTCGTCTCCCCCTCCGATTTCCCCCCCTTCATTCTTCCCCTCCTGCTATCTTCTTCTTCTTCTTTTTTTTTTACCATATATTGTATTATTTGTTTCAGAGGTACAGATCTGTGATTCAACAGTCTTGCACACTTCACAGCGCTCACCATAGCACATACCCTCCCCAATGTCTATCACCCAGCCACCCATCCCTCCCACCCCCCACCACTCCAGCAACCTTCAGTTTGTTTCCTGAGATTAAGAATTCCTCATATCAGTGAGGTCATATGATACATTTAAAATCATCCTCAGTATTGCCTCCTCTAAGCTCTTAGATCCTTATTAAGTCAATAACTGAACATCATAGTAATGCCCAGCTCAGGAGATTTTTTTGTTGTTGTTGTTACATTATGCCTAAAGGCAGCTGCAGTTTGAATTAGGCCAAGAACTAATGTAACTTAAAATGATCTCATTCTAACCTTCTAGGAAAATATGGAATTCTTAGAGACTATTTTTATTATGTTCAAGAGTCCTGTTCATTTAAGTTCAACAGCAACAGTGCGGCTGAGTAAGAAAAAAATTCTGCAAATAAAAATACGAAAACAATTTTTAATTACAATTTCAGTCAAAGTACAGAAAGATCTTTTTAAAATAAATTTCTCCTACTCTCTTACTCCTGAAATCCTGGTGTTATACAAAAGAGTTGGGAATAAGGCTTTTGATATGCATAAAAGAAGTTGGACATGGTATACATACATGTACGTCCTTAACAAAAGTAAGGAAATCTCTAGAAAACAACAGTGGCTGAGGATTGCAACGTTACTTTTTCCAATGAGTTCTTTAGAACACAAAAGCAAAGAAAAATTTCTATGATTTTTTTAATGCTGGTAACAATCATGTGGAAAGAATTTCCAGGGTTGTAAATTCTTAAATATGTAGTACTTTTTAAAGTGTTACCTTTGAAAAATACTGATATCATAGCTATCATAGAACCATGTATTTTAAGTTGTCAAATATTTCATTTTGGGGGAACATGAAGACGATGACCAAGTTGCTTTTCTATAGCTCTGATTATGTGAAATATCCTTACCTAAGAATATGCTGTGATGTGATTTCATCACATATGTGGTGAAATATTTATGAAAATGAAATCTGGTAATTCACTATTGTTTGAACACCGAATCTTGAGGTAATGCAGAAATTTGTTATTCCTATGAAACTGAGATAGAGAAAACTTTGATTTTTAAGTGTAACTGATTTGTATGGCACAAAAAAAGTATGTATTTTCTATAGAATCCAGAAAAAAATGCATCCCCATGCCCTGACACATTCCACCATGAAAAGCTAATGCCCATCTGGAAAACCAGCTCAGCATCTCTGCAGTAAGCATCCAAGGTTTTCTTGGCTATGCATTATTCTGAGCCAGCTCTGACTGCCAGGGTGCAAGAGAGGAAACCCTTCTGACCCTTCTGTGCCTGGCAAACCTCTTCACGCACTATCTTAGCATCTGCACATCTTCAAATAAAGACCATCTGTCGCCAACGCAATCAGAAGGCACTTGTTTGACTATATACTACATACTAGGGTTTTGTTTTTCTAGAGCATCTGTTTTAACCCATGCTGCTTCTCATTCTTTCACTTTTAGCTTGTCTTCCAATTTCTCTGCTTTAAATTATTGAGTGTTACCATCAAATAGTTTTTGGTTCATCTTCAGGAAGAATTTTAGCACATGTTATATGAAACAATGTATCTTCTTGTTCCAATGTACCTTTAAATTGCAGTACAAGGGTGGAAACATGATGGGAAGAATTTTTGCTGCGTTGTCACTGATTAAACTCAGATTCTTGGGACGCCTGGGTGGCTCAGTTGGTTAAGCGACTGCCTTCGGCTCTGGTCATGATCCTGGAGTCCCGGGATCAAGTCCCGCATCGAGCTCCCTGCTCAGCAGGGAGTCTGCTTCTCCCTCTGACCCTCCCCCCTTCCATGCTCTCTCTCATTCTCTCTCTCTCAAATAAATAAATAAAATCTTTAAAAAAAATAAACTCAGATTCTGGGCTTACAGTTACTTTCTTTCAGCACTTGAAAAATGTTGTTTCAGCTCCTTCTGGCCCCCACGGTTTCTGATGAGAAGTCCACTGTCATTTGAATTGTTTTTCTGTTATTGGTATGGTGTCCTTTTTCTCTTGCTGCTTCCAGGATTATTCTTCATCTTTAGTTCTCAGGAGTTTGATTATGATCTGTCTTAGACTACACATCTTTGTGTTTATCCTGGTTGGCATTTTCTTAGGATCTTGAATCTGAAGATTTATGTCTTTGGTCAAATTTGGAGACACTTTTAAGTACTGCGACCCTCTGGATTTTTTTTTTTAAAGATTTTATTTATTTGACAGAGAGAGACACAGCGAGAGAGGGAACACAAGCAGGGGGAGTGGGAGGAGACGCAAGCTCCCCAAGGAACAGGGAGCCCGATGCGGGGCTCGATCCCAGGACCCTGGGATCATGACCTGAGCCGAAGGCAGACGCCTAACAACTGAGCCACCCAGGCACCCCTTGGATTTTTATTTGAATCTTGTGTTTTAGCAGGCCTCCCCTGACACCACTCTGCTGGGAGAAGGAAGTTCACCACTGTACTGTTATTGTTTGGTGGGAATTCAAGTCCAAGTGACTCAGCTTCTATTGACAGCTCTGGGGAGGGGAATTTCTTGTTCCTGCTGAGCAGGGGTAGAATTTCAGGCTCCCCACTAGAACATCACCATTAACAACACCTTGTCTAGGAGGGGAGAGGCATTCTCTTACTACTTCCATATAGTTGTCACTGACATTGTGCATGGGGACACTCAATACTACTAGTAGGTGGGTGGGAAGGAAAGTCACAGCTGCCCAGACTGCCTGGGCAAGGACAGAAGGGCACCCCCCATCTCAGTCTTTGCTGCTGGGGATGAGGTGGGACCACAGTTTTTTTCTGTGGTGTTCGGCTAAAGCAGAGTGGTTATTTTCCTAAAGATTTTCTGTCATTCTAGGCTGCCCTTTTCTTGGTCCGTTGCTGGAAAGAGACAGGCTTTCCTTGGAGCTTTTATTTTTATTTTTATTTTTGTATCTGTGCCCATTGGAATAATGGGTCACCAGCTTCTCCAGCACCCAGATCAGGGTATATGAGGCAAAACAAAAATGTAGAAAACTTAAACCACTGCGTCTTTCCCCAGGTTGCAAGATCCCTAGCTGGCCTGCCTTCTGTCCAACTTTCAGAGTTTTCTTATATGTTTTATATATATATTATCAAGGGTTTTTAGCTATAACTAGTGGGAGATACAGAGAGAAGTGTTCCTAGTCCATCTCATCCTACTATCAGTTCACCTTCATTTATGACAATATTTTGATGGGTATAAATTTATGGGCTGACAGGTTTTTTTTTTTTCCTCTCAGTACTTTCAAAGTGCTCCATTGTTCTCTGCTTGCCTTTTTTTTTTCTTGATGAAAAGTAATTATCTTTGAACCCAATAAACACATATCTTTGTTCCTCTAGCTGTTTTTAAGCTTTTCCTTTATTACTGGTTTGTAGCAGTTTGATCATGATGTGCCTTGGTGTGATTTTCTTCATGTGTTTTCTTTGAATTTCACTGAGCTTCTTGGATCTGTGGGTTTATAATTTTCATCAAATGTTGAAAGTATTTAGTCATTATTTCTCCAAATGTTTTTCTACTCCCTCACTCTCTCCCCTCCTTCTAGGATTCTAATTACACATAGTTAGGCTACTTCATGTTGCTCTATAACTCACTGGTGCTCCGTTCATTCACCCTCTTTTTTCTCCCTGTGTCTCATTTTGGACAGTTTCTGTGTCTTTGAATTCATGATTCTTCCCTTTTGCGGTGTCTAATCTGCTCTTCATCTAATCTAGTGGGGGTTTTTTTCATTTCAGTTATATTTATTATCTCTAGTAGTTTGATTTCCCACTTATATTTTTTCCTCTCATAGTTCAAGAGTCACTGGGTTATTTCATACTTTCTCCAGAGGTATCCACTGGCTCTTTGAGATCCCAAGAGACCAGTTTTACAGTGTTCAGTTTCACTGAGCTTTGTATTTCCCTGCAGATCCCCATATGCAGGGGTCTCACCCTGTGTGGGCCTCATACACAGTCACAGCAGCAGACAATCCAAGGCACACAGAATAGGAGTGGGTTAGGGAGGAAAGGGTTTCTTTGAAGGAAGCTGCTTAGAGCTCTTACGGAGTCTGTTTCACTATGGAAAATATGGCCTCTGGGTATTTAAACCATGAAACTGAGGCAAAGGAAAACATGCTTTATAATATATAATAAGATAATAAATATCAATATAAATAAGATATAAAAATACATATCAATATAAATGAACATAAATATTATTATTTTTTGTTTGGATGAGCTGAGAAGGAAGCTCTAGTTCAAAAGCCCAGAAATTATAATGAAGGCATTATCGATTTTTCAGTCAAGAACTTGAAAGACAGGCAAAAGTGTTCACACGCACTTACCAACTCTACCGGCATCTGAGGTTTTAGCTAATTTACAGAAGCCCTGTATCTTCTGGCATTGACTTTATTTCTTTAGTCCCACCGAAATGTTCAGTGTCAAGGGGTGGTGTCATTCTTTTTTGCATCGCTCATGCTAATAATGCTTGACATATAGTTGTGGCCTCTCAATACAAGCTTGTTGAATTTAACTGGATTCTTTCGGTCACCCAAATTGTCGATAAACACAGCCAATTCCCTCTTAAATGCAGACAAAAGAGGGGAAGAAGAAAAAGAAAAAAGAAAGAAAAAAAAGCTCCGCGCTGAGGATTCTGGGCACTGTAGTTCGGGAGCCCCAGCTGCGCAGGCGCACTGGCTAGCCCGGAGGCCGGCCCCGCCAAGCCGGCGCCATTGCTGGAAGCGTTCCCGCCCTGCTCTGCGAGTGCCCTCAGTTGTCCTCAGTTCGGCCGCCAGGTACTCGTTGCCCCCGGCGCCAGGCCGCGGTTCCCTGCCGCCCCTCTCTCGGCGCTTGGCTCCTGGCGGCGTCCGGGGCGTGGCCGGTCCCTCCAGAGCCCGGGTCCCTGGGCGGACACGCCCACCCGAGAGGGGACTGCGGCTGGGCCTCCTCCCTGGCTGTTGGCTCGGTCCCGCCCCGGCCTGGCTGGGGGGCCGTCGGTGCCGTCGGCGGCGGGCGCGGCGCTGGGGTCGGGGAGCGCCGGGCGCGGGGCCCCGGCCAGTAGGGTTCGACTGGGGCGGGCCGCCTCTTCCCAGTCCCGCGCCTTTGACGGAGGGAGGAGGGGGACCCCCGATGCGCTCTTCGGGAAAGGGGGCGAGACCGGAGGAAGGAGAGGCTCGCTCCCGGCTTCTGAACCGGCGCGGATGGAACGGTGTCACACCTGGTGACCTGACAGGTGGATGAACTCCTGTCTTTCGGTACCCGAGGCAGTTTTTCCAGTTAATCACTTTAAATCACTTGTCTCTCCCTGACGTGGTAATGGCATCATTGCGTTGGTTGGGACATGCTGGACTCGTCCGTGGCGCTGAAGTCCTCAAGAAGAACATGGTCCCCTTCATTGTTTTAAAATAACAAAGCTGGGGGCGCCTGGGTGGCTCAGTCGTTAAGCGTCTGCCTTCGGCTCAGGTCATGATCCCAGGGTCCTGGGATCGAGCCCCGCATCGGGCTCCCTGCTCGGCGGGGAGCCTGCTTCTCCCTCTCCCAATGCCCCCCCACCCCCAGCTCGTGTGCTCTCTCACTCGCTTTCTTTCAAAGACATAAATAGAATCTTTAATAAAAATAAAACTCGGGGCACCTGGATGGCTCAGTGGTTAAGCGTCTGCCTTTAGCTCAGGTCATGATCCGAGGGTCCTGGGATCAAGCCCCTGCATCGGGCTCCCTGCTCGGCGGGAAGCCTGCTTCTCCCTCTCCCACTCCGCCTGCTTGTGTTCCCTCTCTCGCTGTGTCTCTATCAAATAAATAAATAAAATCTTTAAAAAATAAAATAAAATAAAATAACAAAGCTGGCTTAGGATCCACAGCAAGAGAAAGTCTTCAAGTCCTTGGTACTTCCGCAGTGCTTGGGAAGACAGGGCTTGGGTGAAGTCACAATATCCAGAAACAAATATCTAGGAAGTTATGACTTTGGAGAAGTATTGGCGTAGATGATCTAATGTGTGATGTCAGAGGTGAAAGGAGAAACTGATCAAGTGATTTTGCCTGTGGACGTATTTCCACAGTAGCCAAACCAAAGTTAGAACCTGGGGGTGTGGACAGCCACTGTGGCATTTTATCCCTACACCAAACTCCTGTGTATGTAGAGGTCCTTCTGATTGTCTACTTGGAAAGTGTAGAAAAGTAGAAGGAAGTGTAAAACATCACAGGTCCGGCACTCAGAGGTGACAGGGGAGTTTTGGCTTATTCACTTGCTGTCTTTGTCTCTATGCATTATTTTTACGTAACTGAGATCAAGCTGAATATCTTGAATTTTAAATAGTGTTGGTTATTCTGATTATAAAAATTTAAAAGATGTTTATGGCACAGTTTGGTATTAAACATATTTGGCTAGCATTATCTATATGGCATATTGCCAGGGAGGAGTTTATTAATCTTTACAAATGTAAAAAGAAATGATAACTCAGGTCATTCCTTTTTTTTTTTTTTTTTTTTTAAGATTTTATTTATTTGAGAGAGAACAGGGCTAGAGAGAAAACACAAGCAGGGCTGAAAGGTACAGGGACAGGGAGAAGCAGATTCCCCGCTGAGCAGGGAGCACGACCTAGGCTCTTTCCCAGGATCCCAGAATCATGACCTGAGCAGAAGGCAGATGCTCAACCCACTAAGTCACCCAGGTGCCCCTCATGTCATTCTTAATAAGTTTTTAAAGATGCAGAAAACCATTACTGTAGTTCTTTGGAATTGAAAATGTCTTAAGTCACTCTTTGTAGGTCCACTTTTGTATTTGGAAAAAAATGGTTTTATTTATTCTTTTAGCCCATTTTTTTTTTCTTTCAAACCTTGTAAAACTGGATTTCTTGAATTGAGGGTGAGTATATGGGTTGGGGGGGAGTTGAAGTCAATCGTCAAACTCCCTGAAATAATATGCAGCATCATATGCATGTGCATTATTCTGTGGACAAGGTCAGATTCTGAAATAGATCTGTAACTCCTACTGGCATCCACATGCAGTCTTGTTACTATTTGTTAGAATAGTTTCTTTTTCTTCTTCCTTTTTTTTTTTAAGAGGTGGGGCGGTGGGATGAGAGGGAGAGAGAGAATTTTAAGCAGGCTCCACGCCCAGTGCAGAGCCCGAGGCAGGACTTGATCTCACGACCCTGAGATCATAACCTGAGCCAAAATTAAGAGTCAGACGCTTAACCAACTAAGCCACCCAGGCTCCCCAGAACAGTTTCAATTTTTGTCTTAAGTTGTGTTTGAACTTGCCACAAGTGTTGTTTCTAAACTGAAATGAAGAGTGATTCAAGAAGCACCAGGCTTGAAGCAGAAACTCAGGCTCTAGAATGATCTTGGTAAAACGTATTTCAATTGGATTTTCCCATGTGAAAAGAAGAGTCTTTAATTTGGGGTTTAGGAGTTAGCTTTAGAACAATATTTCTAAGGTGTGAACTTGAGGTACTTGTTGACAATGTAGACTTTTGTGTTTCACGCTTAGAGATTCTGATTTAGATCTTGGAAGGAGCCAAAGAATTTCCTTTCTAAAACGCATGCCTAGGGGGTGCCTCCGTGGCTCAGTTGGTTAAGCGGCTGACCTCTGATTTCTGCTCAAGTCATGATCTCAGGGTCATGAGATGAAGCCCCGCCTTGGGCTCTGCATTGGGCGTGGAGCCTGCTTAAGATTCTCTCCCTCAGGGTGCCTGGGTGGCTCAGTCGGTTAAGCCCGACTGCCTTCAGCTCAGGTCATGATCTCAGGGTCCTGGGATCGAGCCCCACCCCACATCAGGCTCTCTGCTCACGCTTCTCCCTCTCCCTCTGCTGTTGCCCCTGCTTGCACTCTTTCTCTATCAAATAAATAAATAAATAAAATCTTTTTAAAAAAATTCTCTCCCTCTCCCTCTCCCCCTCCGCCCTCCATCCCCACTACTCCTGCCACTCATATGCCCTCTTTCCCTCTCTAAAAAAATAATAAAATAAAATAAATGAAAATCATGCCTAGTGAGCTTTTTGCATCTTGTTTTAAGATGTGGGAGTTTTCTTTTTATTTTTCTATTTTTTTAAAGATTTTATTTGTCAGAAAGAGTACAAGAAGGGGGAGCGGCAGGCACAGGGAGAAGCAGGCTCCCCACTGGGCAAGGAGCCCAATGCAGGACTTGATCCCAGGACCTTGAGATCATGACCTGAGGGGAAGGCAGACGCTTAACCAACTGAGCCACCCAGGCATCCCAGATGTGGGAGTTTTCTAATTATACTTACGAGTTTTCTGGGGGAAGAGTCATTTTCATTAGATTTGCAGAGGAATCCATGACCTAAAACAAGGTAGAGAAATACTGGTGTATGGGAAAAGCACTTTTATTAGTAACTTTTGAGACTTCAGTATAAGAATCCTCTCAAATTATTCATTCTTTTATTGTTTTTAAAGATTTTATTTATTTGACAGAGCACAAGCAGAAGGAGAGAGAGGGAGAAGCAGGCTCCCTGCTGAGCAAGGAGCCCGATGTGGGACTCTATCCCAGGACTCTGGGATCAACCCGGGCCAAAGGCAGCCGCTTAACCAACTGAGCCACCCAGGCGTCCCCAGATTATTCATTCTTTATCCAAGTCTTATCTTCACACTCCACTGTGTTTTTCCTCCCTCAACTTCTTATTTCTCTTTCACCAAAATCTTTTCATTGGGCATAGCGAAGCCCCAGGGTCATGGAACAAACTGCATGTAGGGGTATTCTGATCAGATGGGGGGCACCAAATGTGGGGTGACCTGATCACGTAGAGTTTGGTGGCGAGGGTGGTAAAATTCACCCAAGGCAGAACAAAGGAGTTTATTAAACACACTACAAAGGAATGGCAGGCGGGACAGCAAGGGAGAGACTGTCCGCAAGGAGGCAGTGGTGGGGGGCTGGAGTTAAGGGGGATGGTGAGGAGGTATGGGAACATAGGGAATTTTCCCTTTTTGGTGCCTGTATCCAGGTGTAAGTAACCCATTGGTCAGCCAGGGCTTATGGATGTTTTGAGGTGGGTCGCCTAATGGGTGTGTTTGTATTCAGCCTGGTGGTCACTGTGGGCCCTTCTACCTCACTCAAGATTTCATTGTTCAAGTTGGTTGCCCAAAAGCAACCTCTACAGTCTTTTTTTTTTTTTTTTTAAGATTTTATTTATTTATTTGACAGAGAGAGACACAGCGAGAGAGGGAACACAAGCAGGGGGAGTGGGAGAGGGAGAAGCAGGCTCCCCGCAGAGCAGGGAGCCCGATGTGGGACTCGATCCCAGCACCCTGGGATCATGACCCGAGCCGAAGGCAGTCGCTCAACCGACTGAGCCACCCAGGCGCCCGAGTCTTAAGAGAATCACATTTTCTTTTTCTTTTTTTAAAAAGATTTTATTTATTTGAGAGAGAGAGCATGAGCGGGGAAGGCGGGGAGCAGAGGAAGAAGGGGAGGGAGAGAGAATCTGAAGTAGGCTCCGCCCCGAGTGCAGAGCCCTACTCCGGGGCTCGATCTCATGACCCTGAGATCATGACCTGAGCTGAAACCAAGAGTTAGATGCTTAACCTACTGAGCCACCCAGGTGCCCTGACAAGCACATGTTTTCTTGATTTAACTAAACCCTACTCTCCCAGGCTTACCAGAGAACTTTACATTTTTCTTTCGTGACCATTCATTCTACTAATTAGGAAATTAATTTTTCAGCTTTAACCAAGTCTATGTGGTTTGAACAAGTAAGCCTATTTCTTTCTCATATAAAAGTCTGAGTTGGTAGGTGGCAGGCAGTGATAAGGGTAGGCAGCTCTCATCCATTAGGTCATCTGGAAACCCAGGTTCCAGTCATCTTTTTGTTTCACCACCACCTGGGGGCGTTATCTTTCCTATGGTAGCAGCTGACTCACTCTCATCCCGTTGCATTCCAGGCCTTTGGAAGGGGAAACGAAGAACTGGAGGCCAAGCAGCTCCCTTTTAAAGATGTGACATCAGCTCTATTATTCAAATCCCATTTGCTGTAATTTAGTCACATGGGCACACCTGCCTACATGGTGGCTGGGAAATGTCTCTAGCTGGATGACCTTATGTCCAGCTGAGATTTCTTTTTTTTTTTTTTTTAAGATTTTTTATTTATTTATTTGAGAGAGAGAATGAGACAGAGAGAGAGCATGAGATGGGAGAGGATCAGAGGGAGAAGCAGACTCCCTGCCGAGCAGGGAGCCCGATGCGGGACTCGATCCCAGGACTCCAGGATCATGACCTGAGCCGAAGGCAGTCGCCCAACCAACTGAGCCACCCAGGCACCCTCCAGCTGAGATTTCAAGCCTTTGTCAATACAGAAGGGGAGACTGGATGTTGGAAGGCAATTAGCAGTCTCTGCTACATTGGCCTACATAAGTTTCCTGCTGCTTGAGTCAGTCTTAGAAAATTTTTAAACAAAAATTGTTCTTCGGGAAACTTTATTTTTATTGGCATACAGTTTTAAGATGATTTATATGTTATAGCCCCTTTTTTTTTTTTAAGATTTTATTTATTTATTTGACAGAGAGAGAGAGACAGTGAGAGAGGGAACACAAGCAGGGGGAGTGGGAGAGGGAGAAGCAGGCCTACCGCAGAGCTGGGAGCCCAATGCGGGGCTCGATCCCAGGACCCTGGGATGATGACCTGAGCCGAAGGCAGCCGCTTAACCCACTGAGCCACCCAGGTGCCTCGCCCCTTTCCTTTTTTAATTAATTATTTTTATTAACATATAATGTATTATTTGTTTCAGGGGTACAGGTCTGTGATTTTATCAGTCTTACACAATTCACCGCACTCACCATAGCACATACCCTCTCCAGTGTCCATCACCCAACCACCCTGTTATAGCCCCTTTCTTGTTTCTATTTTTAGTTTATTGGTATATTTTCTTCTTTGGCCAGTGGCATATATATTTCATTATTTAGAGAATCAGCTCCTGCCTATGTCAACTGCTTCGTTATTTATTAGTTTCTTTATTATTTCTCTTTATGGTTTGCTTGTTAATTATTTTTCTTATTTAGTTGAATGTTTAATATTTTTATTCTTTTTAAAAATGTTAGTTGCATGCATTTAGGGATATAAATTTTATCTTTTTTTAGAAGTTTTGGCGACCCATGAGTTTTTATTTTCTAATTCACTGGCAATTAAAGTTCTCTCTTTGACTTAATAGGTACTCAGGAGGGTCTATTTTAATTCCCTGGTGACTGGGTTTTCCCCCCTCACTCCAGACTTAACATTTGTAAATCTGCATCATGGTTAGAGTGTCATGTATTCAGTTTCTTTTTTTTTTAAGATTTTATTTATTTTATTTTAGAGAGAGAGCACATGAGAGTCGGGGAGAAGGACAGAAGGAGCGGAAGAGAGAGAACCTCAAGCAGACTCCCCACTGAGCACAAAGCCCCGCATGGGGCTCAGTCCCATCACCCTGAGATCATGACCTGAGCCAAAATCAAGAGTTGGACACTTAACCAACTGAGCCACCCAGGTGCCCTCCCCACCCCCTGGCATGATGATTTATTTTAGGGTGTGTATGTGTGTTATAGTAAGAGCTTGCTTTCTTTTTTTCATCCACAGAGATACTACTTTATTTTTTAATTGAAATATAATTGACATATAACATTATATTAGTTTCAGGCATACATCATAATGATTCTATATATATTGCAAAGTGATCATCACAAATCTAGTTAATATCCAGCACCACACATAGTTACAAATTTTTTTCTTGTGATGAGAACTTCTAGGATTTATGCTTATCAACGTAAAAATATAATACAATATTATTAACTATAGTCACCATTCTGTACATTACATCTCCAGGACTTATTTATTTTATAACTGAAAGTTTATAGCTTTTGACCACCTTTGCCCATCTCATGCACTGCTCACCACATCTCTGGCAATCTGTTCTCTGTATCTATGAGTTCAAGTTTGGGGCTGGGGGGTGGGGTTGTTTGGTTTATTTTTTTAGATTCCACATAACAGTGAGATGATACTTGTCTATATCTGTCTGACTTGTTTCACCTAGCATAATGCCCTCTTATTCCATCCATGTTTTCACAAATGGCAGGATTTCCTTCTTTTTTATGTCTGAATAATATTCCTGTGTGTGTGTCACATTATCTATTCATCTGTCAACAAACACTTCCATTTCTTGGCTATTGTAATTAATGCTACAGTGAACATATGGGTGTGGATATCTTTTTGAGTTAGTGTTTTTGTTTCCATCAGATAAATGCCCAGAAGTGGAATTGCTGGAAAATGTAGTACTATTTTTGAGGAAACTTTGAGGATATTTTAGTATGATTTGTTCTAGTTTTGTGAAAAATGTTGTTGGTACTTTATAGGGATTTTATTAAATCTGTAAATTGCTTTGGGTAGTATGGATATTTTAACAATATGGTTCTTCCAATCCATGAGCACAGAATATCTTTCCATTTAATGTCTTCTGGTTTGAATGTACAAGTCTTTCACCTCCTTGGTTAAATTTATCCCTAGGTATTTTATTCTTTCTGATGCAATTGTAAATGGGATTATTTATTTATTATTTTTTTTTAAATGAGGTTTTCTTTTTTTTTTTTTTAAAGATTTTATTTATTTATTTGAGAGAGAGAGAATGAGAGACAGAGAGCACGAGAGGGAAGAGGGCAGAGGGAGAAGCAGACCCCCTGCCGAGCAGGGAGCCCGATGTGGGACTCGATCCCGGGACTCCAGGATCATGACCTGAGCTGAAGGCAGTCGCTTAACCAACTGAGCCACCCAGGCGCCCCGATGGGATTATTTTCTTAATTTCTCTTTCTTACAGTTCATTATTAGTATATAGAAACACAACTGATTTTTATAAGTTGATTTTGTATCCTGCAACTTTACTGAATTTGTTTATCCTAACAGTTTTTTGGCAGAGTCTTTAGGGGTTTCTACATATAATAGTATGTCATCTGCAAATAGTAACAGTTGTTTTCCAATTTAGATGCCTTTTATTTCTTTTTCTTGCCTAATTGCTCTGGCTAGGACTTCCAGTATTATGCTGACTATAAATGATGAGAAAGGGCATCCTTGTCTTGTTCTGTTCCTGATTTTAGAAAAAAAGTTTTTATCATTTCACATTGAGTATGTTAACTGGTCTTGTCATATATGGCCTTTGTTGAGAGTTTTTATCGTAAATGGATGATGATTTTGCCAGGTGCTTTTTCTGCGTCTATTGAGATGATCATATGATTTTTATTCTTCATTTTGTTAATGTGATGTATCACATTGATTGACTTGCAGATGTTGAATCATTCTTGCATCCCTGGAATAAATTTCACTTGATCATTGTGTATGATCCTTTTGATGTATTGTTGAATTCAGTATACTAATATTTTATTGAGGAATTTTGCATCTATGTTCAAGAGGGTTATTGACTTCTAATTTTCTTTTCTTATGGTGTCTTTGCCTGGTTTTGATACCGCAATAATGCTGGCCTCGTAAAATGAGTTTGGAAGTGTTCCTTCCTCTATGTTTTTTGGAAGAGTTTGAGAAAGTTTTGTATTGATTCTTCTTAAATGTTTGATGGAATTCACCAATGAAACTACCTAGTCCTGGACTTTGTTTTTTGAGAGACTTTTTATTATTGAGTCAATCTCCTTACTAGTAATCAGTGTGTCAGATTTTTCTCTTTCTTCATGATTCAGTCTTGGTAGGTTGTATGTATTAGGAATTTACTCATTTCTTCTAGGTTGTCCATTTGTTGGCATGATCTTTTTAGACCCATATTGTCTTATACTTTAATGTGTGCATATGAATCAGCTAGGGATCTTATTAAAAAGCTGATTCTGGGGGTGCCTGGGTGGCTCAGATGGTTAAGTGTCTGCCTTCAGCTCAGGTCATGATCTCAGGGTCCTGAGATTGAGCCCCTCATCGGGCTCCCTGCTTGGCAGGGAGCCTGCTTCTCCCTCTCCCTCTACTGTTCCCCCTGCTTGTGCTCTCTCGCTCTGTCTGTCAAATAAATAAATAAAATCTTTTAAAAATAAATAAATAGATAGATAAATAAATAAAATAAAAATAAAAAGCTGATTCTGATTCAATAGGTTCTGGAGTTGGGCCTCAAATTTTGCATTTTTCACACGCTCTCCAGTAATGTTTATGCTGTTGTTCTTCAGACTACACTTTTGAATACAAAGCTCTTGGTTGTGAATTCTTAATGGAGACAAATTGTCTACGTAAGGCAGGGACAGATTCAGCATAATCCTGCGTAGATTCTTTTGGGCCCCAAAAGCCCTACTGCATGGTGAGAGCATCAGACTTCCTAGGAAACTGTCATTTAAAAGAATTTCACAAAATCTGGGAAGCTTAATTCTTACTGCGCCATTGCTCTTTTATGTCTTGCAGCATCATTCTGCAACTATGCACTTATTAAGAGAATGTTTACAAACATCAGGCTCTTTTTTTTTCCCCCCTGCTTCCTTTTTATTTAGGTTTGCCTGATACGGAATGAGTAGATAAAGATCTATTTGAATATGAGATTGAGAGAGGCATGTCAGGACTTCTTTTAAGTTTGGAAGTTGTGGTGTTCTCTTTACATGAAGCTGAAATCTCTGAAAATGTTAGCAAATTGATCGTCACATGAAAGGCAGGAGGAAGAAATTCTTAGACTGTTTTATTTTTAGATGAGTGGGTGCTTGTGGCAAAGAACGATTGAATTATTTCCTTTCACATCATATAGCAAGTTGATTTAATGGAAAAGTTGTGGGCATTGGAATTAGACCGATTTGGGGTCGTGCATGGCCTTGGGTAAATAGCGTAATTTCTCTAAGCTTCATTTTCCTGATCAGTGGAAGAGGAATATAATTCCCATTGGATTGATGTGAAGTTCAAATTAAAAGCACCTTGTACAATGTCTGGCCTGCTAGCCATGACCACATTTAATGGTATTAAAATGTCAAGATCTCCAGGAGCAAGGATCTTTTTTCCTCACTGATCTTGGGAGTTAATCTTGTGTTCTTTAGGGAAGTCATGCTTACTTGTAATGTCAGGATTCCAACTAGATAAGTCTGAGATTTCCAAGGCAGGATGGGTGTTCACACCTTATTTCTTTCTCTTACTCAGATATGCCATTGCAAGACTCCACTCTTGCCAGAGAGAGGAACCCAGAGGAAGAGATTATGGCTGCTGTGGTTTTTTCAGTTGGACCTCTGGTAAGTTGGGGTTTCCTCTGGTCCTGACCTGCCTCTTGGTTTCAGAGCATGTCTATTTTTCTTGAAGCCTGTGACTTCCCTACCTTACCCACACCCCTTCTGGTAACTGAATCAAATTATTTCATCCATGAAAATTGGGTTCATCATAGTAAAGCTTGTAATCTATAAAAAGATTCATTATACATATTGAAGCAAATATCAAGACACATGATCTTTCAAAAAATACTTTTTGCTGTTTTTGATAGATAGGCAGCCTAGGAAATTTACTTTTGATGTTAAATTTGTATTGTCCCCAGGAAATTTCAGTTATTTATGGGGTAGAAGAATGGAATTTTTTTTTTTAAAGATTTTATTTATTTATTCATAAGAGACAGAGAGAGAGAGGCAGAGGGAGAAGCAGGCTCCCTGCTGAGCAGGGAGCCCAATGTGGGACTCGATCCCAGGACCCTGGGATCATGACCTGAGCCGAAGGCAGACGCTTAACGACTGAGCCACCCAGGCGCCCAAGAATGGAATATTTTAAATTGGACATTTTGTTTAGGAAATTTTGGGAAAAAAATATATATACACAGACAGACCCACACACCCTCTTAATTAAGAGGGACCATTCCCCTTGTGCCCACTGTCAGTGATCTCCTCTTTTCTACCCATTAAGAAGTGACCAAGTTGGGCGCCTGGGTGGCTCAGTTGGTTGGGCGACTGCCTTCGGCTCAGGTCATGATCCTGGAGTCCCTGGATCGAATCCCGCATCGGGCTCCTTGCTCAGCGAGGAGTCTGCTTCTCCCTCTGACCCTCCTCCCTCTCATGCTCTCTCTCTCTCTCATTCTCTCTCTCTCAAATAAATAAATAAAATCTTAAAAAAAAAAAAAAAAGAAGTGACCAAGCTTACCATATGATCCAGCAATTGCACTACTGGGTATTTACCCCAAAGGTACAAAAGTAGGGATCCGAAAGGGTACGTGCACCCCGATGTTTATAGCAGCAATGTCCACAATAGCCAAATGTGGAAAGAGCCAAGATGTCTATCGACAGATGAATGGATAAAGAAGATGTGGTATATATATACAATGGAATATTATGCAGTCATCAAAAGGAATGAGATCTTGCCATAGGCAACGACGTGGATGGAACTGGAGGGTATTATGTTGAGTGAAATAAGTCAAACAGAAAAGACATGTATCATATGACCTCACTGATATGAGGAATTCTTAATCTCAGGAAACAAACTGAGGGTTGCTGGAGTGGGGGGTGGGGTGGGAGGGATGGGGTGACTGGGTGATAGACACTGGGGAGGGTATGTGCTCTGGTAAGCGCTGTGAATTGTGCAAGACTGTTGAATCTCAGGTCTGTACCTCTGAAACAAATAATGCAATATATGTTAAGAAAAAAAAAAAGAAGAAGAAGAAGATAGCAGGAGGGGAAGAATGAAGGGGGGGAAATCGGAGGGGTAGACGAACTATGAGAGATGATGGACTCTGAAAAACAAACTGAGGGTTCTAGAGGAGAGGGGGGTGGGAGGATGGGTTAGCCTGGTGATGGGTATTGAGGAGGGCACATTCTGCATGGAGCACTGGGTGTTATATACAAACAATGAATCATGGAACACTACATCTAAAACTAATGATGTAATGTATGGGGATTAACATAACAATAAAAAGGGGGGATAATAAAATAAAGAAAAAAAAAGTGACCAAGCTTGCCATTTGCACGACGTGGATGGAACTAGAGGGTATTATGCTAAGCGAAATAAGTCAAAGAAAGACAAGTATCATATGATCTCACTGATATGAGGAATTTGAGAAACAAGACAGAGGATCATAGGGGAAGGGAGGGAAAAATGAAACAAGATGAAATCAGAGAGGGAGACAAACTATAAGAGACTCTTAATCTCAGGAAACAAACTGAGGGTTGCTGGAGTGGAGGGGGGTGAGACGGATAGGGTGGCTGGGTGATGGACATTAGGAAACGTATGTGCTATGGTGAGTGCTTTGAATGGTGTAAGACTGATGAATCACAGACCTGTACCCTTGAAACAAATAATGCATTATATGTTAATTTAAAAAAAAGTGACCAAGCTTAATAGATGACATGGAGAGAAAGAAGATGTTTAAGACACGGAGCTTGGCTGTAGGGAGCTTACAGTCTCATTGAGCTAAGGCATACAAAAGAAAGAGTTACATAATTTATTTAGGTGAATGATAGTTGCTGAAATAAAAGAAATGGAACATGAAATAAAAGAAATGGGACATGACTATGGGCAAAATTGGTCCATGAGAAACCTCTTGAGGACAGTTAGACTTAAGGTGGTACCCAGTTACAAGTGGGATTTAAATTGTCATCAAGAATTTGTGAGGGTGGTTCAAGTGAGAAGGGAGTTCAAGGGCAAGGCCCCGTGGCAGAGAACAGTGGGGTGCGCTAGTGATTCCAGTTGGAAAGTTATGAAAGACAGGACTGAATTAGATATTTAAGCTGAATCTTTTAATGTTTCCCTGAAGACATTTAAGTATACATATGTATGTGTGTGAGAGTGTGTTTGAGATGGGTGTTAATGTGATAAAAGCTGTATTTTAGCAGTGACTTTCTGACATAGGAGATCCCAAAGTTGGTTGAGCATCTGACTCTTGATCTCAACTCAGATCTTGATCTTAGGGTCTTAGGTTCAGGCCCTGTGTTAGGCTCTACGTGGAGCCTACTTAAAAAAAGAGAGAGAAATAAAAGATAAATAAAAACCAAAATGTTGCCCTTGATCAGTAGATCCAAAGTATTTGTCTGGTATTGACATGGTCAAACCCATCCCTAACTACCAGAGGTTGAGGTTCACATTTTCTGGAAGTTGAATATTTATATTTTTTAGATAAGAACTTGGGAGGGAAGAACTAAGATAACATTTTTTCTCAATGGATTTTAAACAGTTGTATTACCCATAGTTTTTTAAATGGCACACACAAAACCTAAAATTGTTAAGTACTAATAGAAAGATAGAATAAAAGACTATTTCATCTATAAAATCAGGCCCTCATGGGGATACAGTTTATAAGGTTTGGAAGAAAACAATATAGTGAGAAGTCCCTGAAATACCTCCTGAATGACTGTGAGATATCTGTTCCCCCTGGCCCCCAAAGCACTAATGATTTTCTACTGTGGAAAATACATAGTGTTAGTAGGTTTTGAGTACTCTTCTTGAGCAAGATAGATACTTTCTGAAGAAATACATTTCAACCTTACATGGAGAGGGAAAATAATGTAGCATCTGAAGGCCTCTTATTATAAATTTATTTTTGTTGTGATAGGTTCTTTGTTGGAAGCCTCCTTTAGAAACTATGCAGTTATATCTTTCTCGGTCTTGTGTTTGTCCTTGTCTTAAACAAAGTCAAAGAAGATTATAATTAGATATTACTATGGGACATTAATTTCAGCCCTAAATAAAACAGTAGAAGAGGTTATCCCATATATGCCACATCCACAGTGGACTGATGTTGCTTGTTGAGGCTCTGCTGTAGGTCATAGGCAGCCTATCACTGAAAGATCTTATCCTGTATCCCCTCAGAATCCAGAAGATTCCCAGCCAGATGAAGAACTTCACCTTCAGGCAGAAGAGCCGGAACTGGTAAAGGTAATACTTAACATGTATGTAAGGGGAAAGAGAAGGGCCTCTTTTACTGCCCCCATAGTTCTTAATGTTCCTAGTTCTTGGCAGGTTGACAATGAACACCATCTTGCTTGATAGGTGTAGTAACCCCAGGACTGGTACCATCAATTAGGCAGATTTCATTTCTCTCAGCGGTGGCAGCCCTAACATGGCAGATAGTCACATCGTCATTGCTAATTGATAAAGTATCCTGTATCACATCCTCTGATTCTTGCTTTGCATTGTGAGACTCAATACCATTAAAAATACCAAGAATGGGGAGCCTGAGTGGCTCAGTCGGTTAAGCATCTGCCTTTGGCTCAGGTCGTGATCCCAGGGTCCTGGGATCAAGCCTCGAATCTGGCTCCCTGCTCAGCTGGGAGTCTGTTTCTCCCTCTCCCTCTGCCCTTCTCCCCTGCTCATCCTCTCTCTCACGCCCTCTCTCAATAAATAAATAAAATATTTTTTTAAAAAAATACCAAGAATGCATCAACTTGAGTGGAAACATTCCTTTTTTTTTTAAAGATTTTATTTATTTATTTGACAGAGAGAGAGAGAGAACAAGTAGGCAGAGGGAGAGGGAGAAGCAGGCTCCCCGCCAAGCAGGGAGCCCGATGTGGGGCTCGATCCCAGCACCCTGGGATCATGACCCGAGCCAAAGGCAGCTGCTTAACCGACTGAGCCACCCAGGTGCCCCGAGTGGGAACATTCTTAAGCTGTGTTTAAATTAGTTTAGATTTTTTTTATTTCATTATCATTTGTTAAGCTTTCTTATTTGTGAGTACAGAATCCACCAGATTTTTCCAAAAAATATCAAAGTCAGAAATTTATGAATTATGTTAAGAAAAATTATCTAAAACTTAGAAATAAGAAATAAGGTAAAAGGTAAATGTATACCCTTTCAGTGTCATATTAGACATGTCTATTCTGGTATTCTTTTTTCTGCTATCAAGAGACAACTGTTTTTGTGTCTTCTTTGAACCAGCTTCATCAAGCAGCTGATCTCTCATTAATGACTTAAGTCAATCTTCAGCATGTGTTGATGATACTTTTAGAATTATGGGGTTTACTTTTTTTTTTAATTTTTTGTTGAAGTATAGTTGACGTACAATGTTATATTAGTTTCAGGTGTGTAGCATAGTGATTAGACAACTCTATACATTAGACAGTGCTCACCACGATAAGTGTAGTTACCATCTGGTACCGTACAAAGTTATTACAATATTAGTGACTATACTCTCTATGCTATACTTTTCTTCTCTGTGACTTATTTATTTTATTTATTTTTATTTTTTTTTAAGATTTTATTTATTTATTTGACAGAGAGAGACACAGCGAGAGAGGGAACACAAGCGGGGGGAGTGGGAGAGGGAGAAGCAGGCTTCCCGCGGAGCAGGGAGCCCGATGTGGGGCTCGATCCCAGACACTTAACGACTGAGAGCCACCCAGGCGCCCCGTGACTTATCTATTTTAGAACTGGAAGTTTGTACCTCCTAATCCCCTTCACCTGTTTCACTCATCCTCCTCCCCTCCTAGCAACCACCAGTTTGTTCTCTGTATTTAGGAGTTTGTTTCTGTTTTTTGTTTGTTCATTTTTTTGTTTGTATAAGCGAAATCATGGTATTTGCCTTTGATTTATTTCACTTAGCATAATACCTTCTAGGTCCACCAATGTTACGACAAATGACAAGATTTTTTTCTTTTTTATGGCTGAGTAGTATTTAACTTATGTATATGTGTGTTATACATAACATCTTCTTTATCCATTCATCTATTGGTAGACACTTAGATTGCTTCTAGATCTTAGCTGTTGTAAATAATGCTGCAATAATCATAGAGGTGCGGGCGCCTGGGTGGCTCAGTTGGTTAAGCGACTGCCTTTGGCTCAGGTCATGATCCCGGAGTCCTGGAATTGAGTCCCACATCGGGCTCCCTGCTCAGCAGGGAGTCTGCTTCTCCCTCTGACCCTCTCCCCTCTCATGCTCTCTCTCACTCTCTCTCTCAAATAAATAAATAAATAAAATCTTAAAAAAAAAATAATCATAGAGGTGCATATCTTTTTGAATTAGTGTTTTCACTTTCTTTGGGTAAATAGCCAGCAGTGGAATTACTGGATCATATGGTATTCTATTTTTAATTTTTTGAAGAACCTCTATACTGTTTTCCATAGCAGCTGCACCTGCTTGCTTTCCCACCAACAGTGCCCAAGTGTCCCCCTTTCTCCACACCCTTGCCAATTCTTGTTATTTCTTGTCTTTTTTATTTTAGCCATTCTGATGGCTGTATTTTCTCATTGTGGTTTTGATTTGCATTTCTTTGATAATTAGTGATGTTAAGCATCCTTTCATGTATCTGAAAATACATGGCCTTTTTGGAAAAATGTCTGTTCAGGTCCCCTGACCATTTTTAATTGGATTATTTGGGGGTTTTGTTGAGTTGTATGCATTCTTTTTATATTTTGGATATTAACCCCTTATCAGATACATCATTTGCAAACACCTTCTCCCATTTTTGTGTTGGTGGTTTCTTTTGCTATGCAAAAGCTTTTAAGTTTGATATAGTCCCAATTATTTACTTTTGCTTTTGTTTCTCTTGCCTGAGGAGACAGATCCAGAAAACTGTTGCTAAGGCCAGTGTCCAAGAGTTTACTGCCTTTGTTTTCTTTTAGTTGTTTTATGGTTTTAGGTCTCACATTTAGGTCTTTAATTCATTGTTACTTTATTTTTGTGTGGGGTATAAGAAAGTGGTCCTGTTTCATTCTTTTGCATGTAGCTGCCAAGCTTTTCCAACACCATTTGTTGAAGAGACTGTCTTCTCCCCATTTATACTCTTGCCTCCTCTCTTGTAGATAATCATGGTTTAAAAAAAGATTATGTTGGGGCCCCTGGGTGGCTCAGATGGTTAAGCATCTGCCTTCGGCTCAGGTCATGATCCCGGGGTCCTGGGATCGAGCCTCACATCAGGCTCCTGGCTCAGCGGAGAGCCTGCCTCTTCCTCTCCCTCTGCCTCTCCCCCTGCTCATGCTCTTTCTCTCTGTATCTCTGTGTCTCAAATGAATAAATAAAATCTTTAAAAATAAAAAATAAAAAAAGATTATGTTGAAGTTCAGCTCCTTTTTTTTAGAATCATGTTTTTAAGTTTTTTAAAATTACACTTTGGAAGTTGGTTTTATTCCAAGAATATTTTATGTGAAAGGGGGCTTTTCTTTTTGCTTCTATGAGAAAATACATTCTGAGACTCTTACACATAATTTTTATATAGCCTTTTTAAAATTTAATACTGGGCCAATCATTCTTAAAATTGTCCTTTAAGATATAACAGTTCAGACTTAAAAATTTTAAGGTGAAAATATTAATAGTTTCAGACTTTGAATCATGAACTGTAGGAAAATACCATTATTTTTGACATGGTGAATAATTCATGTGGTTTATTTTTGTTCTGACAGGGAGTCCTTGGCAGAAGATTCTGTCTGGCTCTTTCTTAAAGTCTGCATCCTGTTTATAAGTACCGAGCTTAGTTTTAATTTTTTTTTAAGTAGGCTCCATGCCTAGGAGCCCAATGCAGGGCTTAAACTCATGACCCTGAGATCAAGACCTGAGCTGAGATCAAGAGTCAGACACTTAGGGCGCCTGGGTGGCTCAGTCGTTAAGCGTCTGCCTTCGGCTCAGGTCATGATCCCAGGGTCAAGCCCCGCATCGGGCTCCCTGCTCTGCGGGAAGCCTGCTTCTCCCTCTCCCACTCCCCTTGCTTGTGTTCCCTCTCTCACTGTCTCTCTCTCTCTGTCAAATAAATAAATAAAATATTAAAAAAAAAAAAAGTCAGACACTTAACTGTACCCCTAGTTTTGTTTAATCTTAATTTGAAATAAAATAAAATAAAAAATAAAAAAATAATAATCTTAACTTGAAGAGAACCAATGTTTTAATGATAATTTTTAACATTTCTATCTACGAAAAAGGCAGGTATACTTTTCTTAGGGCTTGTGTTGAAACTGTTGATCAATTTGGGAAGTATTGCTGTGTTACTATGAAGTTTTCTAGTAGGAAGAATATGGAATGTCTTCTTATTTATTTAGGTGTTCTTCAGTTTCTTTCAGTGATGTTGTGTCATTTGTACTGGGTGTCTTGCACATCTTTTGTTAAATTAATTCCTAAGTGTTTTATTCTTTTTGCTATTTTAAATGGATTTTTTTCTTAATTTCTTTTTTGGAATGTTCGTTGGTAATGTATAGACATAGTTGACTTATGTATATTGATCTTGTGTCCTGAACCTTGCTGATCTAGTTTATTTATAGAAGGGTTTTTTGTTTGTTTGCACGTGCATGTGTGTGGATTCTTTAGGGTTTTCTATATGCAAGATAATATCATCTGTAAGTAGAGATTATGTCATTTCCAAATAGAAATTTACTTCTTCCTTTCGAGTCTGGATACCTTCTTTTTTTTTTTTATAAGATTTTATTTATTTATTTGACAGACAGAGACACAGCGAGAGAGGGAACACAAGCAGGGGGAGTGGGAGAGGGAGAAGCAGGGAGCACGATGCGAGGCTCGATCCCAGGACCCCGGGATCACGACCTGAGCCGAAGGCAGACACTTAATGACTGAGCCACCCAGGTGCCCCCTGGATACCTTCTATTTCTTTTTCTTCTCTAGTTTTTCTTGCTAAAACTTAAAGTACAGTGTTGAATAGAAGTAAGGAGAGAGGACATCTTTGTGAGATTTGTGATCACAGGGAGAATGCATATGGCCATTCACCATTAAGTATGATGTTAGATTTGTGTTTTCATAGATGGTCTTTATCATGTTGATGAAGTTTGCTTCTATTTCTGGCTTGTTGGGTTTTGTCACATAATTTTTTGAGTCTGTAAGATAATTGTGTGGGTTTTGTTCTTTATTCTGTTAATATGGTGTGTTACCTTGGTTGATTTTAAGATAGTAAAGGAACTTTGTATTCCTGGGATAAATTCCTTTTGGCTGTGCATATAT